TACTGACTCCAAAAAATGCTGGTTCCAATGTGGAGATGATAGATGTGGCAATTACGGTAATGCTGTCTTGGACCTGAAAATATAATGCGGAAGACTTTCAGCATCCAAAATTTTAAATGTTCTTGTATGTTGGCGTCTACGAGGCAAACTCTTAACCCAAAGGGAGCACAACCTTGCTACCACTTCATTTGGGCTGCCGCAGAAGTTGAAAAAGGAAGAGAGGCTGAGGAAACGGCATCTTTTCCTTTCACATGTAAAGTGTTGTCGGTAACATTTTGGCTGCATGAAATCACGGTTGTTCTCAATGGTAAGGCACCCCTGGAAGTTGATGTGTCCTCTGGCAAGCCCTAAGGGTTAGTCTTGGGTCGGCTACTGTTTCTCATCTACATATAAATGTAATTTGTTTCGATATCTGATCACATATCAAATTATTTACCAATGACTGTGTTTTGTACAATACTATACATAGCCCCAATGATTGCATTACCCTTCAACATAATCTCGACAGGGTGATGTGAAAAGTGGCGTATGTTTATTAATGCTAAATAAACAGTGCATACGTCCTTTACAAGAACCTCTCCCCCTTCCCCCCACAACTTATTTTAAATTGTAAATGGCATCTTGGTGTATATTTCACACCAGACCTTTCCTAAAGCTGTCACATCAATGACGTCACAAATCAAGCCAGACGAGTTTCCCGCGCAAAAATGCAGAAAGATTACTAGTTGAGGCCAAGTCTCAACTATACAGTAGACTCCCTTTAAGATTAATTCCAAGAGACCACGATCATTTGTTTGTCTTATCGGGAGTTCATCTTATTAGAAGCGCCTCTAAAAAACAAATGCTAACATGTCAAGTAAACCTAAATATGTTCACTGAGAACACTGAATGAAGTATACTTATAATGGGGAAGAAAGGAATGAGAAAAAGCATTTAATTTGCTCAGCTTGATAAAAACTATGCTTTCAAATTGAGTACTCAGACCAATCCAAGTACTCGATTTTGCAAGTTCATAATAAATGTTCTCATGAATAAACTGCCACAACATTTTAACAATAAAACTGAAGTACAACTATATTTTGATGATTAGAAAAGATAATAGGGAGAGCCAAGCACAATTTTCCTTCTAAAAATGGGAAATTTATTCTTCTGGCTATTCACCTTTAGAGAAGCTAAGCTGATTTACTGGTTTTGCCATCACTTTTGGATACACCTTCATTGCATATGCAGATTTGGGTGCATACTAAAGAACCCCAGGTGGCCGAAATTTCCGGAGCCCTCCACTACGGTGTCTCTGATAATCGCATGATGGTTTTAGGACGTTAAACCCAACATATCAAATCGTCAACATTCATTGCATACTGTTACCTTGACAAAACCAATATATGCCAAGTTGCTTAAGAAAGTCTGCAAGGTTTTCTTTGAAGTTCGAACATTTTCTTATTTTCAGCCTGCAGTAGCTTTTCCTGAACGACATGCAGCTGAAGGTCTCCGTTTATGCTATCACGGTCAAAAGTCCTGGGCATGTATTTAGCATGCGAAATGAGGATCCTTTGTGGTGCACTTACATAATGAAAATGGTGCAGCACAATTTGCTGCATTTCACTGCAAACAGATATGATGCGCACAGGTCTTATGCAAAACAACGCAAACTGACCGCAGCAAGGGCTCAGGTGCCATTGTGTATGCATCTCAATCCTCTGATGGGAGTGCTAGTGTTGTATATGTGTTTTCTGTTTCATGGGTTTATAATCTGCAGCTATCTTTGTTTTCGTTTTCGCTTTCATTTGGCTTATTTTCGCCCCCTTTCCCTTGCATTTTCCCCTCTAGTCATGCCCGACCCCTTTTTCCTCTATTGAATATTTACCTTTCGTTGAGAAGATGAAAAAAAAAAAGCCATCAAAAAAAGCTCATGAGCTCTCAAGAAAGAAGAAAAAGAAGAAAGCGTTCGCCATGGACGGTTCTAACTGCTATGTGTAAATAATGTAAATATAGTCTTGTTTTTTCAAATTTCATGACCAGTTATTTCACACCCTCTTCTCCCCCAAGTGTTTCGATTGGGGTGTCCTCGCCTGATAGAGAGTTACTGCATCACTTAACCCTACTCTTCAACCTCCTTCATTTGAAGAATCTCGTCCTTTGCGTTCTTTTGTTTTCTACTGTGCTCCATTCAGTGAACTAAAGAACGCGAGGAGAATACGAAAGGACGAACGTTTGTTGTTGCTTTCTTTGCTGATAAAGCCAGTCCCCTTTTCTCCACCTACAAGGTCAGGATAAGGAAGAAAATGGCTTCATGTGCTGACCTTTCTTCTCCACTTATTTCGCTTTCTTCCTGCATGGCGCAATTTGCTTTCGATTGCTTTGAGTCTTTGTGCCAGGAAGTTTTTTTTTTTTCATTTTGCTTTTTTTGTTTGCCTGAATACCTCCATCAAGACTATAATTTTCGTTGCCCAGGGTGCCAGTCGTTAGTCGCTGCGAGAGTTCGTCTTAACAGACGAGGCCTGTTACGTCGTTCGTCTTAAGCAGATTTTTTTAAAATTTCGTCTATGGGAAACCAAACGAACACTTCCGTGTTGCTCGTTTTAAGTGAGAATTCGTCTTGACAGGAGTTTACTGTACATGTCTAACGTTCGGTCTATTTTCGACTACGCTTGGGCTGTGTGGATTCTGTGGAAGGCAAGCGACATGTCCAATTTAGAAAGAATTCAGAACATGGCTGTTTGGCTTGTCTGCTATGATTACACCGGGAATTTCAGGGTTTCAAAGGCAAAAGAAAAGCTTGGTTGGTAGCTTCTTTTGCAAATGAAAGGAACATCTGAGGTTGAAACTTTTTCAAAACGTATTTAATAACCGAACATGTCTGGTGCCCTCGAGATACTTTTGTAAACCGGATTACGTTCCACAGCAACTGGATCATGCCAATAAGATAAAATAAGCTGCTGGACTGTCGCATTTAATATGTCATTTTCCCCAGAATGATAAGCCAGTAGAATTGGTTGTTTCCTGAAGTGCCAGAAATCACTTCACATGAAGTATTTTCAAGTTCAGTGCTTGGTCTCCAGCAGTAAACTCGCACGGTTGTGTAAGGCCAACTGTACTCTAAACCTGATTTATACTGTGTATATCCTATGTATCACTTCAAAAGCTAAAATTGAATTTCATTTATTGTAATGTTGATGCGTTGGAATCTGTATTTCTCTAGTGTAATATTGTTTCCCCCCTCCCCCGCTGTAATGCCCAATGGCGATCTGGCTACTATGGCAAATAAAAAAATCACAGCATATACACGGAGTGAATGAAGATGAGTGGGGCGAAGCGTTCGTCAGCCCGTCCATGCTTCCATCCATCCGTTCATTGTTGCTTTCGTTCGTCTGCGCGGCTATCCGTGCGTCAATCCATGCATCCGTTTGTCTGTCCGTACATTCGTCTGCTAGTCTGTGTGTGTGTGTCCATCTAGCGAACACTCCAAGTACCGTCATCTCGCAACCTTTGGGGCACATAGCCGCTGTAGAGCGGGTATGTGCCACTGGTGGCTACGTACATATATACACACACATACATATATACATACATAAATATGGAGGAGCGACAGACCCAAGCCATAAGGAGCTCCGCCCCTAATAAATAAATAAATGTACTAATATCATTCGGCCTCTGCATTGCCTCATTCTTGATAAGGCAACTTCGAAATACCGCCTCACCAGTTCTTCATCCACCTAGTGATCGTGTTGCTATATCTCATAAGATTATGCTTAAGAATCCACTACAACTATTTTAATGCAATTTCACTTAGAACTATTCAATAAATATTCTAGATATTCATTCTAGATATTCTAGAAAATTTGTTATAAAGAGAATTTCGTTATATGCAGGTATGACATGAAAATTCGGAAAATGAAAGCACAAATTAAACAAAAAGAGAACTGAAGGCAGAGCTAACCAAAAACATTCATGTAGTGGTAACACTGTTATTGTGATAGCAATTATATGGACACACTCGACGAGTTCTTGCCATCGTCGCCATGTTCTGTAACAAGTCCGAATTGATAACATGCCCTCGCACATTGTAACTTTTATGAGCGATTAATAGTGGTAGTGACAATGTGTGCACGATTGCCCGCACAAAAGAAAAAGATTTTTAAAAAGCTGAAAGTCGTCAGGGACCACACCACACGCACGCAGTAAAACCATGCATTGCACACGGCATCGAAAACAAAAAGCTAACGACACAGATACCTCGGAAAACAATTCAGTACAGTGCTCTCCATATGCAGCGTGGCCCCTCATACGTGACGCTAACTAAACGCAAGGCACTGCATATGCAAAAATAGTTTTTGTTTTTTGTTTCTAGTTAGGAGGAGGGTCGGGAACATCCACGCATGCACCCTCGTTGGCAAAAACGGCGGCAATGCCGGTTCGGGGGGAGATAGACTCACCTGCCTGCCTCGTGCACACCCGCTTGCTTTCCATGCACATATCGACGCGAAATAATTTGCGCTCGCTCTTACCTGGGAGTCTCTGAGGCCACGAGCGTGTCGTGCGCCCCAGCGCCGTTTCACGGCCACGGGGCAGCCACGGAAGATGCATGCTCATGCCAAAATGACGAAACCTAGGGAAGAATTTCTAGATTGTCCGTGGCAAAAATCCGTTATATCAAGGATGTCTCCTGCTGTTATTTTGTTACATAGAGGTCGCAAATACTTGTGCTTCTACGGAGTAACGGCAGAGAACAGAAAGACTTCATAATATTGAGGAATTCGTTTTATGGAGGTCTTTTATAGGTAGGTTTAACTGTATTCAAGAAATTTTCGAAAAAAGATTTGATTCGCACTCGCATTTTATTGTTATGATTTGCTTCATATCCAAAATTTTGCTATGGTACAGCTGTAATTATAACTTATAAATGTGTTGCAGGGTGCCTTTGAAGGGTAGTGATGCAAGCCAAAGCAAAAAATTATCCCGTTTTTCTGAGAAATAGCATGCTTTCATTTGCCTTGCAGGTATCAAGAGTGCTAACGCAGTTTCGCAAGACCAGGGTTGAGCCGGCCATGAAGGAGGCCTTGGAGGAGGCAGCACCCTTGGTGCGACCTCTGTGGTGGCTGGACCCTCGAGATCACAACACGTATGGGGCAGGCCACCAGTTTGCACTGGGCAACAACCTCATAGTAGCTCCGGTATTAGAACCGGGTCGGAATTCTGCATACGTCTACTTGCCCCAGGGCTGGTGGTGCGAGGACCAGAAGTTGCACCGTGGTGGCAAGTGGATCAGTGTCACTGCACCGCTCGAGAAGGTCACTTACTTTTCACGCTCTGACAAGTGCTAAAAGCCTGGTGACCTGGGGGCAAGGTCCAGGCATGGCAATAAGCATTAACACGGTCATATCATAGTGCTTGTCTTGGTGCTCAACAGATTGCTGCCTTTGGCAGCATGGCTCAAGAGGAAGTACATTCCATTGTGCACAAGCCTGCGAGGTTGCTAGGTTTCGGGCTAGCTAGGTTTCGGGCTAGCTGGAGTTTGTAGATTGAAAGAAAGCTATGCAGCGTAAGTGCCACTTACGAGTCATTGTCACCATATCATTCACAAAAAAGTGTGATTAAATCAGCATAGTGGCAGCAGAACATGAGTACTAGCCCTGAGAAGGAACACTGGCGGCGCTGCGGTTGCGGTGATGTGACGTCACAACATGGACTCTTCTGCTCCATCAGCGCTTGTTGCCTTTTTCAGCGCCTGCCGTTGTGGGGATAAGAGGTGCGCCCGCGACCATTTCATGGACATTCCGCCGTACAGCCACTCCTTTTCTTTTCCCATGCTCTGGTAACGGCACGTGGCAATAGATAGCGCCATGCGGGGGCGCGGCGCTTGCTTTTGGGGGTTGCGAGAATCAGCGAGGCCGAGTCACGTGCGCGCCAGATAGTCTCTCCTTCGTTGGTCGGCGCCTGATAAGCACGTGTTTCCTTCGTCCGCGTCCCCTTTGGAAACCGCCGGACTGTAGCATGCCTGGCTGCCTTGACATCCCCGGCAGGCGTGTTTACCTGAGTGTTAGCTTCGGTACCGTACACTAAGCCAACAGCGGTGCCTAGTGCTTGAAGTGGTCGTACCACACCAAGCCGCACTTGCATTAGGCCTACGCGTACGAGGTTGCCCTAACTTCAGCGACCAGGCCCAGTGGCCATCGTGAGAGTGCGCAGCATAGCCGCAAGAGACCGTTTCCCGACCGGCGTGTCAAAGCTCGCCATTGCCAGCTGCGACGTGCTCGTGGTTTCTCTTTATGGTGAACGTCCGTGTGCGGGAGGCCTTGCCCTCCACGTCCTGGGAGCAGACGTACTGTTGTTCGGGGTGCCCCCAAAGGCAATAAAGTGTTTGTGTATTTCTGTTAATCGAAAACTGTCTGTTTTGCCGCGCCGCACTAAACGCTTTGTTAGTTGAGCGCGTGTGGAGCAGTGCGCTACACGTGAGTATGGTGACCTCGCTACTCACCGTAGCGGACCATAGCGGATGATCACCGCGGGTTCAGGCTTAGCGAGCCACAGGGCCGCGTCTTCCTCACCTGCTCATTCTTCTGTGCATGCTGGTGACGACAATCTAGTAAGTCACCGACCTCTGCACCACCTTGGACTCTGAAGGTATTCGAAGATCCGCAATCGTTAGGCAGCCCGGCTGTGTCCTGCTCCCGGCTGTCGCTGAGAAGCTATGCTGGCCTTTCCATCGTGGCTCCTGCACAAGGCCAGCTGTTGCAGACGCTGTGCACTATTCAACCAAAGCCAGGACGCCTCGCAGCCAGTTGATTTGGCGACCATGATTCCAGCAGAAGGGCCGGCTGTCATAGCGAGGTCCATCCAAACCACTACCAGGCGGCGTTCGTCGAACTCGCGGGCCTGTCGTCAACAATGGCGAGACAAAGGTGAGCTTGTGCCTCGCATGAGGGCCTCAACCAGTCCTCTCGCCTTGCACTCGCACATCCACCCGGTCACCCAGCCCAAACATTACGCTTCCCCTCTGCGCCGTGGATGCGCTTTTGCGTGAGTATCATGAACTCCCGTCACCCCTTTTCTGCGGCGTTATTGTATTTCTCAAATGTATTGTTTGTTGTTGTTCCATTTTTTTTCTTCAGCAGCAGTTGCAAAACTCTGCTGAGGCTAGCTATTACCCATTGCATGACGTTTTTGCATACATGGGCAACGACCGGCAGCCTTTGCAGACCGGTATATAGGATGAATTAAGGAGAGAAGAATGTGAGGATCTGAAGCGTGCCCGCGACCATTTCACGGGCGCTCCACCGTACGGCTGCTCCTTTTCTTTTCCCGTGTTCTGGTAACAGTGCGTGGCGATAGATTGTTCTCGGGGGCTGCGAAAATCAGCGAGGACGAGTCACGTGCATGCCGGAAAGGGTCTCTCCTTCGTTGGTCGGCGCCTGTTAAGCACGTGTTTCCTTCGTCCACGTCCTTTTTGGAAACCATTGGACTGTAGCCCGCCTGGGTGCCTTGGCATCCCCGGCAGGCGTGTTTACCTGAGTGATAGCTTCGGTACCGTACGCTAAGCCAAAAGCGGTGCCTAGTGCTTGAAGTGGTCGCACCACACCAAGCCGCACTTGCATTAGGCCTACGCGTACAAGGTTGCCTTAACTCTCGCGACCAGGCCCAGTGGCCATCGTGAGAGTGCGCAGCATATCCGCAAGAGACCTTTTCCCGACCGGCGTGTCAAAGCTCACCATTTCCAGCTGCGACGTGCTCGTGGTTTCTCTTTATCGTGAACGTCCGCGTGCGGGAGGCCTTGCCCTCCACGTCCTGAAAGCAGACGTACTGTTGTTCGGGGTGCCCCCAAAGGCAATAAAGTTTTTGTATATTTCTGTTAATCGAACACTGTCTTTCTTGCTGCGCCGCTCTAAATGCTTTGTTAGTTCAAGCGTGCGCGGAGCGGTGCGCTACACGAAAGTAGGTGACGAAGACGCGGCCCTGTGGCTCACTAAGCCTGAACCCGCGGTGATCATCCGCTACGGTGAGTAGCGAGGTCACCACACCGTGTACATGATCTTTAGCAATACATTGGTGTTTATTCATCAATTAGGTGACGCAAATTTTTCGACATACAAGTTACAAGGTTTCACGACTAGTGAAAGTTTTTAAAGCTGCAAGAAGTTTTCATAATTTAGCTTTGAAAAGGCAGACCCTGTCCGAACGGAAGATTTATTGTGAAGATTGTGATGCAGGAGAAGACGTTCATTGTTTTGAACGTGTACACCACAGAATGGGTGCTAAAAAAATATGCTAAGTGGTACTAACGTTATCACAACTAAACATAGACTCCAGGATTAGAACATGTCTGTGTTAAAGTATGAAAAAATGAAATTGATATGTGTTCAATTCACTAAATACATTGTGCTTTACCGTGCAAGTTATTTTATTTATTTATTTATGCCATACCCACAGTGCCACATGGCATTACAGTGGGGGGGGGGGGGGATGCAAAAAAAATTCAAAGCATACAGTTGGCAACAATCACTAGCAGCATCAGGAAAACAAATACATATACAAGAAGATCACGAGTGTACACTAATGTGCACCATAGTGAATCCTTGTGCAAAAATAAAAAAACAAGATTGCTAGTAAACAAGAATACAATAATTAATTTAACAATGAAGTGTAATATAGTGATAAAAGCATAATTACATGAACAAGAATGTACAATAAAGAAAAATACAATTGCAAGCATATAGCAGTTATCACTAGCAGTAACATGAGTGAACAGCAACTCTAATACAAGAAGAATTATTTTAGCAGTGAAAAAAATATGTCATTGGACGATATAGTTGCGACAGACTTGTCTAATTGATTCCAGTCCCGTATTGTTCTAGAAAAAAAAGACTTGCTAAAGGAATGTGTTCTGTGGGGAAATTCTATAACCTTATTCTTATGGTCAACCCTATGGGAATAGTTATTAGGTGCCTTTATGTAAAGATGCCTATCAATGCCAACTTTTGAATGAAAGATGTGGAAAAACTTCAAGCGAAGTCTACGTCTTCGACAATCTAGTGTATCCCATTGCAATAATTCTTTCGCGAGCGTAGGACTGAACTCTCTGTCGTAACGTCCACAAACAAATCGAGTGGCCAAGTTCTGCACCCTTTCAAGTTTTTCTGTGTCACATACTGTTGAGGGGTCCCAGACGACACACGCATAGTCAAGAACGGAATGCACATATGTTTTATAAAGCAATTCCTTAGTCGACATATTAAAGTTCTTTGCGTTACGGCGAAGGAACCCAAGCACTTTCCCGGCCTTGCCTGTTACCATAGTCAACATGTCGCTGCCAAGTTAGACGATAGGCACATTCCTAATTATTTGTATTCATTAACCTTACTTATAATCACATTGTTAATAGTGTACGATGTCTGAGACTTTACATGGAGTTACTGTCTTATTCAAGTTCAAATGCATGTGCCATCGTGTACACCAATCACTGATTTTGGTCAAGTCTCTCTGAATGAATGCTTTTTCCCGCGAATCCGTTATTTCCCTATACAAAACACAGTCATCTGCGAACAACCGTATGTGGGATTCTACGCCCTCAGTTATGTCGACGTAAATCAGAAATAAAAGTGGTCCCAGTACCGACCCTTGGGGGACGCCCGATGTTACCTGCGATGCACACGAACTGGCACCATTAACGATTACAGTCTGCTGGCGTAATGTCAAATAATCAGTGACCCATGCGATGACCTGTGAATTAATGCCATACATAGTCATTTTCTCAAGAAGTAAACGGTGTGGGACAGTATCAAAGGCATCTTTGAAGTCTAACAAAATGCAGTCATTCGTTTTTCTTTTGTCTAACGCGTATGCTATGTCGTGTGTAAATTCTGTCAATTGGGTAGTACAAGAAAAACCTCTTCGAAACCCGTGTTGCTGTGGCGTAAATAGTGAATACTTATTCATGTGTTCAACAATGGAGGTATATATTAGGCGCTCAAGAATTTTACATGCCACACTAGTCAGGAATATTGGTCGGTAATTAGAGACGTCACTTTGTGAACCAGACTTATGTATTGGGACAATCATTGCTTTTTTTCAATCTGAAGGAAGGCTGGCATCTAGAAGTGATTTATCAACTAGTACCTTTAAAAACTGCGCTAGTGTTGATGCACAAAGCTTAAGAAACGCCTTTGTGAGGCCATCTGGACCGTACCCTTTTGAGCTGTCTAATCTTTGCAATAACACTTGAATGCCGTGCGTGCTGATGTAAATATCCTCCATACTATCAGTTCGTATTTAAGTGGGGATCACCATCTCCAGGTGCTATCAGTGGCGTAAAAACAGAACTGAAATAACGATTGAGGCATTCAGCTTTATCAATGTTGTCATGGAAGACGTCATCACCAGAAATAAGCGTTGGGGTCGACACATTGTCTTTACCATTTCTTTTGACATGTTTCCAGAACTCTTTTTGTTTATCTTTGAGAAGGGATTGCAAAGATTCAGTGTAATCATGTTTTGCTTTAAAGGTGCATGTCTTAACTTCAAGTGTTACATTTTTCAGTCGTAACTTATTGATATCGGTCGGGGTATCACAAAAAGTACGGTAACATCTCAACCCTTTTTGTGTAAGTCTGCGCAGTTCTTTCGTAAACCACGGCTTACTTTTCGCTTTCCTAGCCGTTAAGTGCCACCATGGAACGAACGCATCACGTAATTCAGTTTTTCAAAAGAATCCACAACTCACTGACGCGAAGTTGTTCCGCAAGGGTCTCAAATACAACAAAGTAATTATCCAGAGACTCATTTATTTTTTCAACATTAGCTTTAGAATAATTCTATACGCGCCTTTGGTCGCACACTGATGTTTTAACGTATTGTAATTCATTTTACATAGCACAGCACCGTGATCACTAATCCCGGGCAGGACGTAAGTAGCAGTTACAAAACAATTGGTTTGTAAAAATTAAATCAAGGATAGTATTTTCCCGTGTGGGCTGCAGTACCATTTGGTGTAGTGCATGCAGACTCGAGATATTAATCATCTCCTGAGCAGATGCCCCAGATGGCGATATTGTGGTTGAGTGCTCATGCCAGTGAATGTTTGGCAAGTTAAAATCCCCCCCGATAATCATGAAGTCTGAATGCACCTCATCAATGGCACTTGCAAGCTGTAACATCACATCTATGGGAAAATCAGGTGCACGATAACAACTACACACAGTTATTACGTTCTTATTAGCGAGCTCGAGTTGACACCAGACAGCTTCACATGTTCCGACGACAACATCAAGGTTGGAAGACACTATGTCACTTTTAACTAAAATAAATACACCACCACCATGACCATTCCTATCTTTGCGGTAGCACATATAGTCTACCGGAAACACCTCGTCATCACGTATTTCATCATTTAACCAAGATTCGGTTCCAAGCACCACAGATGGTTCGGACATTCGAAGAAATGCCCAAAATTCATCTACTTTGTTTTTAATGCTTCTGCAGTTAATTACCAGGAAGGAAAGGTTCACTCCTCTAGATTGACAAGGTCATTGCAGTGCTAGAACTTGCTCTTTCTCTGCATCGTAACCATATTTTTTACCATTCAGTATCAGTGTGTCATATTTCAGTATGACCTTTTCACCTTTTTTTTGTGCGTTTTTGCATAATCCCACAGTATTTTTCTTTTCTGACGTACCTGCCGAGAAAAATCTTCAGAGACAGTAAATGTCGAGCCTTTCAGTTTACTAACGTTATGGAGAACGTCGAGCTTTTTCTTAAAATGCAGAAACTTGGCTATTAACGGTCTATTTCTGCCAACTTGGAATTTCCCGAGTCGGTGCGCACATTCTATAGTTAGAGAATGGATACCCAACTTGGAGCTTCATATCTCGGTTATGTGCTTCTCCGATTTTTTACTTGTTTCATTACCTTCGGTATCTTTTACACCATAAAAGTCGAGGTTATGGCGTCGACTACGGTTCTCTAACTCATCCACTTTTCGTGTCAGTGACTCTATTTCTTTCTTTTGGTTTTTCTGCTTTTTAACGGAGTCTAATATTGCACCGTTCAGGTGATCAATGTTCGACAGTTTAGTTTCTAACGTAGCGATACGACCACCAAGCTCACCTATTGCTACTCGATTTTCTGCCTGCGCGACCTCGATAGCACTAAGTTTCTCTTTAATAGCACTTTGACCGTCTAGAAGTTGTTGCAATTTTGAGTCAACTGCCGGCCCCGGGTTTAGTTCCACATCCCCGCATAAAAAAAATAAGTAGAAAGTAGAACGAAAGACGCCGTACGAGGCGAAAAGTACGCCTCGACCGAACGGTATCATTTGAGTGGGACACAACACAATCAAATAACACTTGGCATGGAATCGGCAAAATAAACACCCCATAATTTCGATCAAGAACTTCGGCACTGACCTGCAAGAACAACAGAAAATGCGTGAACGACATCGCAGAAGCCATGCCGATTCAACGCCCCGCTGACTCGGTGAAAACGCCCGCCTTATGTAGTCCGTCGAACTCAACCGATTTGTGACGTAAGATCCAATGTTCGTAGTCGGGCACTGCACATCTGCCGAAATTGGTCGAGGCGCAGACGTTCATTCCTTTCGTATACTGTAGCGATTTCCTGCCAGGGATCGTCGCTGCTCCGTCAATCAATGCTTCTTCTACCTTGACTCAGCTTTCGCCAGGATGTTATCCTCGATGTTGGGCTGCGCGTGACATGCCACCAATCTGCAAGAACAACAGGAAATGCGTGAACGACATCGCAGAAGCCATGCCGATTCCACGTCCTGCTGACTCGGTGAAAACGCCCGCCTTATGTAGTCCGTCGAACTCAACCGATTTGTGACGTAAGATCCAATGTTCGTAGTCAGGCACTGCACATCTGTTGAAATTGGTTGAGGCGCAGACGTTCATTCCTTTAGTTTACTGTATCAATTTGCTGCCAAGGATAGTCGCTGCTCCGTCAATGAATGTTTCTTCTACCTTGACCCCGCTTTCGCCGGGATGTGATCCTCGATGTTGGGCTGCGCATGACATGCCACCAATCTGCAAGAACAACAGGAAATGCGTGAACGACATCACAGAAGCCATGCCGATTTCACGCCCCATCTGCTAATTATCTAAATATTATCCACGCCCCATCTGCGATTCCACGCCTGCATCTGCGAATTATCTCAATGATTTGACAGGACTGTGCTTTCTCTAGCGAAAGACAATACATGAATATCACTGTCATAAGCAGTTACGTAACATATTCGCCACACAAAGGCAATAATACTGCCGCACACACAAAGATTTCGAAAATAATTATATATTTCCATTCACTGGGATCATATTGTTAAGTGAAAAATAACAGTAGTCAGTCCGCAGCCACAACACAGCTCACTGACAACGTCCACTTCTTCACTCTCAGTCTGAGGCACCCTTTTTGGGTATGTCCCACTATGTCTAGTTACAGTCAGCCGAAATGACGTAACACAACCCCCGGCGACAAAAGCGCTGACCCGGTGACCTGACACAGCAGGAGCAGTGTGGTAATGCTTGAGCCTTGATACGTGGATGATGTCCCGGGACAGCAGAGCAGAAGAGGTTGATGGATCAGCAGGAACAATTTGATATGTAGTGT